AGTTCCTGCATGGCAGGGGGTTGGACTGGATGGCCCTTGTGGTTTCTTCCAACTCTATGATTCTATGATTCCCTAGCATTGAGCCAGGACAGTTAAAGTGGTCTCAAGCTGCATTATTTGTGGCAGTCTGTAAAGGCCCTTAGTCTGGTCTTCAGCATACTGAAGTTTTTAGCATAGCTTTGCTAACGGCAAGTGGAAAATATCTGTTACAAAGAGACAGTCCTGACTGGCCCCTAGTGTGCTCTACCTCTTCCTCAATGTCTGAAGATATTTTTTAGTTTGAGATCTATGTTCATATCTTTGCCTAGCTATGTCCCTAGAAATGCATCCTCCCCCCCCCCCATTTTCTTTTTGCAAGGAAGGAATCACCTGTCTGCTCCCAAAAGTAAGGCATATTCACCCTTTCTGTGGATTGTGCTTCTGCTTTGTTGTCAGAATGTCCCCCTCACAGGATATGTACATCCATTCTATGGCCTCCAAAGATAATGATTTTGGCCTCCTCCTAAACTAGAGGGTGAGCAATATTGCCATCCTGTATCTTCATGGATTCTCCTAGGAGGGCAATACAGTAGCATAGTACTGTACCCTATCTTCCCTATATGCAGGAGATGGGGTTGAGATTTTTCTTTCTTGAATCCTACTGCAACAATGTTAGCGATGCAGAAAGCAGATTTAAAAAGAATGTCATCAGCTCAGAATGTCCTGATGGAATGTTAACAAGATCCTAAAGCCTGAGACAGGTTTTTTTTCCCATCCTTAACTTGAGATCTTGGGTGTGGACCTAGGATCCTTCACATGCAAAATTTGTATTTTATCACTGAACTACAGGGTTGTTGTTGTTTTTTACATTCCTTGTCCAGCAATCCAACTCTTCAAAAAGAGCAGATCTCCCACAACAGCTGTGCTCCAACATGTGTTCTACTTGTTAACCCAGGGGTAGGCAACCTTTCCCCTTTAAGGGCCGAGGGACTTCAGCTCCAGGAAGCCTCAGCCATGTTGGCCAATAGTCCCATGTTGGCCAATAACTCCTGGGATTCTGGGAGCTGAAGTACGTCGGCCCTTAAAGGGGAAAGGTTGCCTACCCCTGTGTTAACCTGTACTTCTGAAGTTATATTTGCTAGAATTATTGTTTGGTTATTCATGGTTAAATCAGCAACACAGCAGCAAGCGTGTACTCAACAGGTATTTTGTAAAAACAACTAGATCTGAGCTTTTAATAAATAAGCATGATACACTGGTAAAAAAGAAACTTACTTTATTGTTACATCTAGGTTCTGCAAAAATAACTAATCAAAAGAGAAAACTGTACTTTGGTACAGAGGTCCCTATATAGCTGACTTCCATGTGTACAAATAAGAAGAGAAACATCTTTAGGAGCACAGCATGGTTTCTGCACCCATGCTTGCAAGCAGGCAGGCTCACTCTGGAGAGAACAAAGAATCATAAAAGTTTATTACCCTCAAGAAGAATCCCCCAGGAAGAGGAGGGAGGGGTATGGGAAGTGACCTCTTCACAACAACACTGACCAAATGATCATAGAAATAAATCAGTGTTTCTGTGTAAAAGACATTGCGTTTTCTCAAAGAAAAATATAGAGCTACATACAAGCATTGATGCTAATACTCTAACAACAATTCCACCTCCCCTGGTGCAAGACAGGCCAGGTTGGTGCTGTTGGGGATGAGGGTGCAGCTTGAAAAGCCAAACTTAAATCCTCTGAACAGTCTAACCACTTTGTTCACTAGTCTGAGCTGAAGTGGGAAGGAACAATCAGCATTGCCTGTTCAAATGTAAATCCTACGTACTGATCCACATATGGAGCTGCCATCCTAATGGGAAAGAACGTAACCAATATAAGAGAATGTAAGAGACATAGATATTGTAATTATACAAACAAAATGTCTGTCACACCTAAATGGCAATACATGGTATAGAATGGACAGATTGCTTACCTGTAACATTATTTCTTCGAGTGGTCATCTGCAAATTCACACAAATGGGTTTTACGCTGCGCATGCGCAGAGTAAAACCCATTTGTGTGCATTTGCAGAGACCACGAAGAAAAAATCATATTACCAAAGACAACCTGTACCTATCTATCTTTAGGCAGATGAACAACTGATCATGTTATCTAAACACTATTCACAAGCTTAAAGGCAGGGGTCGGCCCCCCGAGGCCTTTGGACCAGCCCCCAACGACCGACGGCGACCCCCGCTGCTGCCGTGCACGCCACCATTTTGTTTTCCAAAATGGCGGCCGCAACTCGTTTGTGCACACGCAGTACTCCAGCGCATACGTGAACGAGCATGCAAATGAGTCGCAGCCACCATTTTGGTTTCCAAAATGGTGGCTGCAGCTCGTTTGCGCATGCACAGGAGAAAACAAAATGGCAGCTGTGACGTGCTTGGCGGCGGCAGCGGCCTGCGGAAGACCAGGGGATCCCCAGATCAGCCCCAGGTAAGGGGAACTTGCCGACCCCTGCTTAAAGGGACTACTTCTTTCAATGTGAAAAAGTGAAGTATCTACCATTATAACTGCATATCCATCTTAACAGAATAGTCCACATATGAAAATATTTACTTGTATTTCTTACTTATATCATCCAGAAACAGTAAGCTGTATTTGTAAGAATGCAGAAATATCATACCTTAAAACATGTCTTACCTGTTGCCAATAATAAAGTTATCCCTATGGAAAGTAACTAGAGGTTATGCTTCAAAAGCTCCAACTGTAATAAAATACTGAATCCCTAGACTAGACTACAGGAAGGATGGACAAAGGAAGCTATACACTGCAGGTAGGGCATAACAAATCAAGAAATAATGGCATATATACTATTAAAATGTAATTTTAGATATAACTATTTTCATAAAAATTCAGTATTGGTTGATGTTTCTAAAACTTGCAGATGCTAACAATATCACTGTTTACTGCTGTATTTAAGCAAGTATTGTAAAAACAAATCAAAAAACCATCCCCCTCCCAAAAAAACTGTTCATCAAGAGTTATATTGAAGCTATGAAGTTTAACATTTTTTTTACCTTGTTCCCCAGTTTAAAGACTTCTTCCAGGTTGGTAATGTTTGTATTTATCATAATAGAGTCTGTATCACCATAAATTACTTCCAGATTCATCTACACAGGACGGAGAGTGACATCAAATAGATTAAAACCACAGAAATATGCATCATATGATTATTAGCAAGTAAATATTATATAGGGAGTCAGCATAATGTAATGATTTTAGTGCTGGACCCCAGTTCTGCAGTCAAGGGTTCAAATCCCTGCTCTGCTATGGAAATGCACTAAGGACCTGAACAGACTGCCAGAAATAATCCAGCTTGAGACCACTTTAACTGTCCTGGCTCAGTGCTAGAGAATCATGGGAACTGTAGTTTATTGTGGCACCAAAGCTCTCTGACACAGAAGGCTCAATGTCTCAGAAAAAAACTACAATTCCTATGATTCCCTAGCATTGAGCCAGGACAGTGGTCTCAAACTGGATTATTTCTGGCAGTCTGTTCAGGGCCTAAGTGACCTTGGGCAAGTCACACACCCTGAGCCTCAGACAAAGGCAAAGACAAACCCCCTCTGACCGAATCTTGCCAAGAAACCCCTGTGATTCACCTTAAGGTTGCGACGAGTCAGAAACAACAACAACAATGAAGATTATCATATATATCCCAGTCACAAATGCATCTCCCAAATGCCTATCCTTATAAATGGCACTATTCCTCCCTAACAGGAATGTAGTAGTAGGTTTGCTAGAACCCAAGGTTTGCACAACTTCCCCCCAAAATGGTACATCAGAATAGTCAAATGATGGTTTCTGCTTGGCCTACACAAAAACCTGCAGACGTGCATACCAGAAAGGGTTAGACCAGGAGGGAAGGAAGGAGTACACAAGTACTTGGCTCCTGCCATAATGTCTGGATATGGCTTGGTATTACATATAAATCATCTAATATGGAAAGATAATAACAATTATATTTTTAAACTATTGGGTACCCAGTAAATGGAAGACCCACAGCATAAATGAATAAATAAATATAAAAATTCAAGTCCATAAAAGAATAAGGGGCACTAGGGAAAAAAAACAGTCCCAGGAAAAGAAATTAGAACACTCAGCTGCTGCCCTGTGACTAAACTCTAATTAGCACTGTTATTCATTTATTTGTGAGTCTCAAATACAGACTTCAAGCAGGGATTAGATCACATCTGCTTTATCAAGGGGTGTGTGTGTTATAATCCATTAACAAGGATTAAATCTGTAAACTATGCATCCTGAGAAGTGATTTTAATTCTGTTTAGGTTACTGTTCTACTACAATGAAAAAATATGTAATTTAAGGGCTGCTGTACAAAGACAATGGTTTTCTTACCTTCTCTACCATCTCCTTGGTATGCATCAAAATCTGGGAGAAAAAGAGATGGATTGTTATAAGATCACATTATGAAGTTTCGACAACAACAATAATAAATTTTATTTATATTCTGCCCCTCTGCAAAACATATCAATCAGAAAATAAGCTTGATTTCTGATTTATAAAATAAGCCAATATAACTACTAAATCCTGGACAGAAGGGTTTTAGAACAGAAGAGCATGCAACTACAAGCAATTTTCAGTAACATACTTTTCCCCTGTAGTAGGACATGTTCTATCCATATGATATAGTGACATTGAAGGCCTACAAACAAAACCAAAAACTGGAACTTCTCAATAAAATAAGAAATCCATTAACACTTGCAAAGACACCTTTTACTGTCTATGATCAAGCTACCAAGCAGTAATTTGTATGTAGGGAGAGCTTGTAGCACCTTTGAGACTAACTGAAATAAAGAAGTTGGCAGAATGAGCTTTCGTAGACTTCAGTCTACTTCCTCAGATGCATCAGCAGTAATTTGTTTTATTGCAAGTATATGTGAAACATGGAAACAAGGCTAATTAAATACACACTGTAACTGTGCTTGAATTCAGGTTATTAAAACAATGGAAGACAGCCAGCATGGCATAGTGGTTTGAGCATTGGACTATGACTCTGGAGACCAGGGTTTGATTCCCAGCTCGGTCATGAAACCCACTGGGTGACCTTGGGCAATTCTCAGGGGAAGGCAATGGCAAGCCTCCTCTGAACAAATCTTCCCAAGAAAACCCAATGATAGATTCGCCTTAGGGTAGCCATAAGTCAGAAACTACTTGGAGAAACACAACAACAACAATGGAACATTTTAATGAACACAACTTTTTAAGCCTTTGATAGACTGACAGCTGTAGATAAGAAAGGTCACAGAAATAGTTGTGTTTTTATATTCCCAATTGTTTAGGATGACCGCCAGTTTCCAGAAACCAGAATACTGTTGGCAATACAAAGAAGCTGTGTCATTCAGTCTTTCCATTCCGTCCAGATCATCTCATTATCATATCAACATAGGCAGGAGAAATGGTACAGTAACCTCATGCCACAATCATGATGACCTACTCTAAAATGCCTTTATAACCTAACATACAACAATGGGCCTGACAAGATGTCTCGGGAAGTGTGTTGTCTTCCTGGGGCAA